AACTTGTTTATAATCAGTGCAAGAAGCAAGCGAGGCCTAGCTCGCCCGGCGGCTTCCCTGTTTCCTGCATTTTTTTTGCGCGGGAGCTAAACGCTGGATGGCGCGCCGCCAAGTCTGCGGGTGGCCCGCGACAGCGCCCCGCAGAACCCCCAGCAGCTTTCGAAAGCGGCGACAGTTTCGCTGATCGCAGCCCCCCCAGGGATGGCGAGGTCTAGTCTGAGTCTGGTTTGTGTCTCGATCGGCTGGCCCCCCCAGCAGCCCTCGACAGTGGCGACCTGTTCGCAGATCGCAGACCCCCCAGGGATGGCAAGGTCTAATCCGAATCGGGGTGGTGCCTCATTCCGCTGAACCCCCCAGCAGCCCTCGAAAGTGGCGACAGTCTCGCAGATCGCAGCCCCCCAGAGATGGCAAAGTCGAATATGAATCTGGGTGGTTCCGCACTCCGCCGGCCCCCCCAGCAGCCCTCGAAAGTGGCGACAGTTTCGCTGATCGCAGCCCTCCAGGGTTTGATCTGCGGCGGGTACCCACTCTGTTGGCCTCCCCAGCAGCCCTCGAAAGTGGCGCCAGTTTCGCTGATCGCAGCCCTACCCTCCAGGGATGGCGAGGTCCGCACACGGCAACAGGAGATAACAGGGAAGCGGGAGACGGGAGGCGGGAGAGAGAGGAGGAGAAGGAGAACGCGAACATTGTGCTCTACTCAAAACGAATACCCAACCAAGGAGGGTTGGGGAAAAAACTTACACGCGCTCTTGCGAAATCTTAAGAAAGCCAGCGTTTGTTTTCAATGTTTTGCCAAAACATACTACCAAACTGGCTTCGCGCGCGCGCATGTCGAAATCGTTCGAACGCCCTTGCGCGCGTGCCGTCGCGAGAATCCTCTGCAACAAGCAAGACGAAGTGTACGCGCGCACGTCGTCGCGCGCGCATGTCGAAATTCATCAAATACCTTTGGTTCCCGAAGTATTTCAAAATCGAGTGCCCCAAAAACATACAAAAACACACGATTTCGCAACATGGATTTTCAACAAAAGCGTGCGCGCGCGCTCTTGCGTCGTCGTCGTCGCCATTTTCCCTCCTCCCTCGTCGTCGTCGTCGTCGCCTTCGTCGTCCTCTGTTTTTCCTCCCTCGTCGTCGTCCGTCGTCCTCCTCTTTGGCGTCGTCATCGTTTCCGTTGTCGTTGTTGCCGTGGTCGTTCTTCCTCCTCCCTCGTCGTCGTCGTTGTCCGTCGTCGGCTTCTCGTCATCGTCCCTCCCATTTCGTCGTCGTCGTCTTCCCTCCTCCCTCGTCGTTTTCGTCGTCGGTGTCGCCGTCATCCCTCCTTCTTCGTCGTTCGCGTCGTCGCCGTCCTCCCTTCTCCCTCGTCGTTGTCGTCGTTGTCGCCGTCGTCGTCCTCCCTCGTCGTCGTCGTCTTCGTCGTCGTCGGCGTCGTCGTCGTCGCCGTCGTCGTTGTCGTCGTCATCGTCGTCGGCGTCGTCGTCGTCGAAGTGGTCGTCGGCGTCGTCGTCGCCGTCATCGTCGTCGGTGTCGTCATCGTCGTCGTCGTCGGCGTCAGCGTCGTCGTCGTCGTCGTCATCGGCGTCGCCGTCGTCGTCGTCGTCGTCGTCGTCGCCCGCCGTCGTCGTCGAAGTCGTCGGAGACGCCGTCGATGTCGTAGTAGTCGTCGGCGTCGTCGTCGTCGTTGTCGCTGTTGTCGTCGGCGTCGCTGTCGTTGCCAGTGCCATGTGGTGCCCACCGCCACGGTCGCGAGAAGTCTTGCGGCCAAGTTGCGGGTGGGAGGGCGGGACGTTTACACGAGCAGTGGAGAGGACAGCTTCAGGACAGCCAAAGTGAGTTGCAAAACGTAGGTCTCACAACATAGCTCGCACAAAACAAGTCGCATCACATGGGTTCTCCTCGCTTGAAAGGAATTAGATTCTACCCCCACCACCTCCCCAGGATTACCATTCACCCTGGGGAACAGCAATTTACATATGATTCTGCCTCCTTATTCATTTCATATGAATTCATTCCATCCCAACTAGTCCCGGTATCGGGTCCTCCCCTCATCCCTGCCAAATCATACCATGCGGTGCACATGCGTTGACCTGAGATGAACTGGCTGCACGAACCCTTATGGAATGATACCATGCGGGCCACATGCGCGCGCTCAAGTCGAAATCCTCCCCAAACCTTTATGCTCATTGCGATCTCTGCGTGAAAACGTATTTTTCCAACAACAAAAAATGGTTTGTCAACCAAAAGCTTTCAACATTCCACCCCGCGCGCATGCCGAACTTATTACAATACCTTCGCGCGCTTGCCAGAGGCATGACCCGTGTCAAATTTTCCATGCGGGGCACCGTCATCGTCATCCTTGCCGTCGGAAGCGCCGTGATTATTCTCATCGTCGTTTGTCGACGCCGTGGTCCGCGCTGCCCCGCAAAGTGGATTTTGCCCGCGCGACGAGCATCCGCGCGCCAATGAACGCGATGGAATTATCGGAGGAGCTCCACGTTGCAACTGCAGTCGCGACCTTATGAGTTCTGCAAACCACCTCATCGTCGTTTGTCGACGCTGTCGTCCGCGTTGCCTCCCGCAAGATGGATGTTGCCCACGCCACGAGGGTCCGCTTGCCAACGAGCTCGATGAAATTGGCGGACGAGCTCCACGCTGCAACTGCAGGCGCGACCTTATGAGTTCTGCCGACCAAGATGCGGGTGAGAGGGTGGGATGTTTGCACGAGCATGGGATGTTTGCGAGAGCATGGGATGAGCCAACTCGTTTGTTTAAATCAATTGCACGACATACATTGCACCACATTTGTTGTATCGCAATCACATATCTCGGCCCACATATTTTGCATGTCGTCGATTCTCCTTTCTATCGGAAGAATAGACTCTACCCCCCCGGAGTTAACAGTCCCCCCTACGCGTAGTGCAATTTACATACTGTGCTGCCCCATCGTCCATCCAAAATATGAATTCATCCTATCCCAGCCAGGCCAGTATCGGCCTCCCCCCGCCATCCTGCAAACAAAAAAAAAACGCACATTCGGTTATCAAAAGTCAGAGGTACCCAAAAACCCCTTGCAAACAAAAAAACGCAAAGCCATAACGCGCGTACCCATGTCAATATCGTACCAAACACATTGTACGTGTACGCATTTCAGCATTAAACAAAAAAACAAAGGTTTTGCAAACCAAGTGCTGCAAATTTCTTGTCCGCGCGTTCATGCCAAAATCTTTCAACAAACCTGGGATTATTATGGCCACATGCGCGCACCGCTGCGCGCGCATGATCAGTCTGACGGGTTTGTTGAACTTCCGCGCGCGCGCGGATTTCTTTCTCAACCTTGTTAGCAGCACCGCGATCACCTGCCTCATCGACAGATGGACATCCGCATCGTCAACGTGTTTGCCATCATTTGCGCCGTTATCGTTCGTGCCGTCGCCCTCTTGAACATCGTCGTCGCTGGTGCCATAATCGTCATTGTCGCAGACGTTGGCGACGTCATCTTGTCATCGCGCACGTCCGAGTATCGTCGATATGCTCACCTGCATCGTCGACTCACGGTGACGAGCACCGGCAGTGAGGATGTTACCATCGATGTCGTCATCGGCGGCGCCGCCGCCCCCCGCATCATGAGTTTTGCCGAACAAGCTGCGGGCGGGAGGGTGGGATGTTTCCGCGAGCAGTGGAGACGACGACTTCAAGTTCAGCAGAGTGGTTTGCACAACACAAACTGCACCGCACAGGTAGCACCACACGTATTGCACCATGCCGATCGCACGGCAAAGACAGCACAACATCAGTTGCATTACGTTGCACCACATAGATCGCACCGCATATATAGCGCCACATAAACAATATCACGTAACTAGTATCACAGGCACTGCTCCAGATAGATTATTAGAAAAAAAAACATTGTTGGAGACCCATGATTGCTTGCATGTTATGATCGCTGCCAATGGGGGTCGTCGGTCCCGATGGCCCTCGTTGTTGCGCGGTCGCCGCCGATGGGGTCCCGGGCCTTACTGGTCCCGATGATTTCGATGTTCGGCGGCCGGGACGAGAGGTAATCAATTGCGAAGGAATCAGTATGTGGAGCCAACGTCGGCAATGATTTTCCCGGATCGTTCCTTGGAAAGCTAAGAGAGCCCCAGGCAGGGAGCGCCTCTCCAAGGCTCCCCGGCAAGCATCCTCGCAAAGAAATGTTTGAGATTGCAGCGTGTCCCGAGAAGCGTTTTCCGATTCGTTCCCCAATGCGCGTGCCCGAAGCCTCCCCGCAGCTCCTTCGAAGCTCGCTTTTCGAAGCCTGCAGGCTCCCCCGGCATGCTTTCCAGCGCCCTGGCAAGCGTCGCCGACAGGCTCTTTCCAAGCTTGCAAGCTCCCCAGACGTGTTTCCCAGTGTTTTCGCAACCGTCTTCCAGATGCTTCTTACACAGCATTCCCGGATAGCTCGTAGAGAGCTAAGAGGGTCTCAGATTAAGAAGACGGGGCCGCAGGGTAGCCCGGGAGGTCGTTCCGGCTTCCGTCCAGAATCCCCAGCGCAGGTTGCTTGAGCTTGCGGCGTGTTCCCGCAGGCCTTTTCTAAGCGTTTCCCTAGACGCGTGCCTAGAAGCTCTCCAGAAGGTCCTTCGGGAACTCTCTCCAGGTCCTTCCACAGTTTTTCGCCAGACCTTTCCACGCCTTTCGGGCGCCTACTATCCGGGTTTGGGATCCCACAAGTGGATTTGGGGAGGGATGCCACTATCGTTTTCGATGCAAAAGCTTTAGAGAACAGAAATTATGGCATCCGACGTCGTGGATGTTTCACAACACTGCTGCCCAGAGGTCTGGACCCCATCCCCAGGGACCGGCTTGTCATCCCGCGTTTTTTGTCAGCGTTTTGAGGGTCCCCAGGGGCAGAAAGTTGCCAAGCATGTCCCGTCGTGTTTCCTCCACTGCGCGCGGATGTCAGGGGAGAACAGAGAGAGAGCGAGAGAGAGCGAGAGAATATGCGCAAGTGGATTGCGCATCAGGTGGTGGAATTCCTGTTGGAGGCCACGGCCGCTCCGAGCCTGCAGACGCAGGCCAGGCCGGCTCCGTTCCGCCCGGCCTCTTCACGCCGCTCTTGGCGCCTGCGAGCAGGGCAAACGCTGCACAGCTAGCAAATATAGCCAGATCCCCGACGATGTAATGTTGTCAACCCGAGGTCCCAGGCTCCCAAGAAATTGGAGCCGCCAGTATTGGAGCAAGTTTCGGCTTCCGGGGGCCTTCAGTGGACCGCACGACCGTATAACAAAAACCTGGAGGAAGAACTGACTCTGGGGAAGTTGGCCAGACCTCCGGGGGCCCACGCGGCGAAAAAGTTGGAGCGCCGGCTGTCTGGGACTGGCAGCTGTTCTTGGATTTCGACCTCTGGGGACCGTTTCAGGGCCCCAGTGCCCGGGACCATCGAAGATAGATCTGGCACGGGGGAGGCGGAGGAGGAGGAGGAGGAGGAGGACGAGGAGGAGGAGGACGAGGAGGAGGAGGAGGAGGACGAGGAGGAGGAGGAGGAGGAGGAGCGGCGGAGGAGGAAGAGGCGGCGGAGGAGGCGGCCACCTCCGGTGAGGCGGTCGGGCCCTCATGGGCCGCGGGCTGAAAAAGAGCATACCGGCAGATGCCACGACACGTTTTTGGGGGCATTCCAGGGAGCGTCTCGCCTTCGAGGGGTCGAAGGGTCGACGTGTCCTCGTCGGAGGCCAGAAAAATGCCAACGAAAGCAAAGGGCGCGCCACCAAGAGATGAACATATGCTTGGGCCCAGGGTGCCTGAAGCGGGCCGCGCGTATGGTTCAGGGGCTGCAAGTCGTGAGTTGTTCGTTGCCCCGCCGTTCTGATGGTCAGTGTCGATGTTGTCAGCTCCGCTGATGGTCGATGCACGCCGAGAAACCGTCGTGGATCCCACGCGGGCAAGCCAGGGCACGCAAACCACGGCTCTGGATCGCAAACCCACTCGGTGAGACACTTGTAACGCTGTGTTACTCAGCCACACGAGTAATGTGCATGGGAGCTCCATGGTCTCATTGTGGTGTTCATTATCTTCCAGTTCCGTCTGAAATCCCGGTTCAACATTTAAGATGTTGGCGCTGTGCCCGTCAGATATGAAACCAGCTCGTAGGTTCCATGATCTGAGCAGGTGAACCACATGTTGTGTTGCACATGCTGATCTTGTGTTGACCATGAGAATACTTGAGCTACATGTGACCAGCGCACCATTGGCTACAGAGCTTGCGCCCTGTGGCGTTAGCCTCCTCTAGAAAGTGATAATGGAGCTTGCATGCCACATGGGAGGTCACATTTGAACACGTGTGCTGCGACCCACGGGCTGTTACGAGGGCGAACTTGTTTCCAAGACGGCCGTTCAAGCAAACTGCTTACACGTTGAGAGCCTCTGTCGTGCGTGAAGATACGCAAGGTAGATCTTTCAGTGATTGCACACAGACCACGGCGCAGGGGATCCCAAATTACAATTTAGCAAGCTTAGCATACATGACAGCTTAGAAAGTTCAGTGCCTGATTATCCCAATGACTCTAGGTGGCGATGTCAAGAGCGGGACGTCCAACCATGCGCACAGCGTCGCCAGCATGAGGGCATGCTCGTATCGCGAACTGCACTGGTACAGCGCACCACTTGAATAGTAGAAGAACGCTTCTGACGATAAGAATTTGCCTACCTGGCGCAGGCCCACTATGGCACGAGTTGCGATGGATCCCAAAGGTGGCAACCTGCAACGATGCCACTCGTCGGTGAAATTCACATGCCTGTGCAAGCCGAGCGATCGTTCAGAGTGACAGGTAAGTGCGGCTACACAAGACATGATGTATTCATGCTGCGTTTAAGGATGCATGGCCTTCAAACGATAACGCGCCAACCACATCGGGATAAGTGTATGGGGCAAGACAGCGCAATCACGCGCGAGACAAAGCGACGCACGGCAACGCCAGGCATTGTCACTCACGGGACAACCAGACAACATAATGCAAAGCAAGGTGCCACAGGCCAACACCAGGTAAGGATGGGAGTATCAAACAGATGCAAGACAGGGCAACGCCAATGCGCGACAAAGACAGCGCAAGGCACGGCATGGTGTGGCGACACGTACAGAATCGAGCAGTTGGTCATCGCAAAGGGGACGCAATACCTTGTTTCGAGTCGCTTTGCTCATCTGCAGTCTCTGAGTTCCGCGCTTGCCCAGGACGAAAGAGGGCGAACGCCTCTCGACATCGCGAAGAAGCACGGCTTCTCGGCACTGGAGGACACTGGGGCGTGATTTAAGTGAGGTGCGAAAGAGCACGTTCTGTGGTCGCTTGGAGGGGCGGGGGTGTGCTCGAAACCACCCCCCCCCCCCTCCCTCCCCTGCGTCCCCTCTTCGGGTCGGCGCTTGCGTCGGCGGCGGCTGGCGGCGGAGGCGGGGACGACGATTTCCTTTTCTGGGCCGACGCCGGCGCCTGCGGCGGCGGGCGGCGGCGGCTGGGAGCGTCGACGTGGACGACGGTGGTGGTGGTGGTGGTGGTGGGTTGTGGTGGTGGTGGCGGTGGTGGTGGTTGTGGTGGTGGTGGCGTGGTGGTTTGTCTTGGTGGTGGTGGTTGTGGTGGTGGGTGGTGGTGGTGGTGGTGTTGGTTTGGTGGTGGTGTGGTGGTGGTTTGTGGTGGTGGTGGGTTGTGGTGGTGGTGGTTATGGTTTGGTGGTGGTGTGGTGGTGGTTTGTGGTGGTGGTGGTGGGTTTGGGTGGTGGCGGTGCTTTGTGGAGGTGGTGCTGGTGGTGCTGGTGGTGGCGGTGGTGGTGGTGTGGTGGTTTGTGGTGGTAGTGGTGGGTTGTGCTGGTGGTTGTGGTGGTGGTGGTGTGGCTGATTGTGGTGGTGGTGGTAGTGGTGGTGTATTTTTGTGGTAGTAGTGGTGGTGGTGGTGATGGTGATGGTGAGTTGTGGTGGTGGTGTTTGTGGTGGCTGCGGTGCTGGTGTGGTGGTGGTTTGTGGTGGTTGTGCTGCTGGTTGTGGTGGTGGCGGTGCTTCGTGGAGGTGGTGCCGGTGATGGTGGTGGAAGTGGTGGTGGTGGTGGTGGTGGTGGTGGTGGTGGTGTGGTGGTTTGTGGTGGTGGCGGTGGGTTGTGCTGCTGGTTGTGGTGGTGGTGATGGCGGTGGTGGTGGTGGTAGTGGTGGTGGGTTTTTGTGGCGGTGGTGGTTGTGATGGTGAGTTGTGGTGGTGGTGGTGGTGGTGGCTGTGGTGGTGGTGGTGGTGGTTGTGTGGTGGGTTGATGGTGGTGGTGGTGGGTTGAGGCGGCGGTGGTGGTGTTAGTGGCGGTGGTGGTGGTAGTGGTGGTGATCGTCGGTGCGTCCCCGCCAGCGCCAGCGCCGGCGCTCCTGGCCGCCGCCCGCCAGCGCCAGCGCCGGCGCCAGGGGGGTGTGGGGTTCGAACCCCTCCCCCGCGCGCTGGGGAGGGGGGGGTTCAACCCCCCCCCATTCCCGTGGGCTGCCTCTGGTCATCGTCGCTGCGTCCCCGCCGTCGGCGCTGCTGGCGGCCGCCAGCGCCAGCGCCGGCGCCGAAGGGGGGGGGGGTTGAACACCCCCCCTCTTGGGAGGGCGGTGGGAGGGGTTCGGGAAGGGGGGGGGTGGGGGGAGGGGAGTCCCCCTGGTTTTGATCGACGGCGCCGAGTGTTGGGGGGGGGCCACCCCCCAGTTCGAAACGCGCCGCCGAATGTTTCCGAGGCAATCCCCCGTTAATCTCGTTCTCTCTGAGGTGCCATCCGTGTTGCAAGAGAGCGCATCAGCACCAGGTGCTCCAACGCACCCTCTTTTCCAGGGGCGTCTCTCAGCAGCCACCCGCGACCGTATCGGGCTGCAGCAGGGCACATGTACCGATCCACTGCTGCCCAAGCAACCCTCAAGTGAGAACCCGTGCTGACTGACACATCGGTCATCAGCGTCATCTCGTTGCCATACCTTACGCAGCTGCGCTCCCGCCCAGCATCATCAATTAAGAAAATTCCCGCCGCTCGGCCGACTGAAAATCGATACGGGCCCGACGGGGAGTCATCAAAGGACCAATGTTACAGGACAAGGTGGAAGTCTGCATTTTTCCCCTCAAGGGAGCCGCCCTGGCCTTCATTCCCCTCGCAACAGCCCCTCCACGGAGGCATCCTCAAGCCTCTCAGAACCAACGAGATGATTCAACATTTTAATAAAGCAAAGCCTTCGTGAACCTTCCGTCTTCGCCCGGGGCCCTAGACCCCAGGGCTGTTCTCGGATCTCCCGTGGATTTTCCGTCGGTCGGTCTTGGCATGGTGCCGAATGAAGCATTCGAGAATCGGGGGCGGCAAAGAAGGGGGTGATGACTGGGGGGGGAGATCATGGCGGGGGCCATGCTATCTTCCCAGATTTCACGGCGCCCCTTCTCGTTTCATCAATACGTCCCTTACCCCCCCCCCTGGGCCGCGCATGTGCCGCTGGCCATGATTTGCGCCCCCCCTCTTGGACGCCCCCGACATACTCGCCAATGGCCTGGAAGCCGCGCTGAGCCGCCCCTCGATTCTCCGTCGGCCGGTCCAGGCGTTGTGGCTCTCCCGGCCCGCAGGCAGGCCCCGACCGCCGATCGCTGAGTGCCGACGGCGCCTAGCCCGCCTCCTCCCTGCAAGAGCGATGTCCGTGCCAGAGCTTGGAGGACAGGGTGCGTGTGCGTGATGCTAGACCAAGGAGGGAGAGCCTTGGGGAGGGGCCGCCGATCGCGGAGTGCCGACGGCGCCTAGCCTGCGCCTCCTCCCTTCAGCAGCGGTGTCCGTGCCAGAGCTTGGAGGGCAGGGTGCGTGCACGTGATGCTGAGCCAAGGAGGGAGAGCCTTTGGGCAGGGGGCGGCCAGCCGGAGATTTGTCCGAACAGCTGTGCCTCCCGAGCAGCTCTCCAGGAGTGCCCTGCAACGCCCAGGGCGCTTCCCGAAAGCACGAGATGCGGGCATGGAACGCGCTTCCAAATCCAGGAGGCGGGCGCGGGCTTGGAGGAGACTTCTGTCGGCCCCAGGGTCGTTCCTCGAGGTTGCTGGGGTCCTGAAGGGCGCCGCTGCCTTTCCCCAGCGGATACCTCCAGAAACTTCTGCGAAGGCGGGGGATACTTTAGGACACCCTCCAGGGATCTGAGTTACTGATGGCATGGGCGACTGTTGCCTTTTGTGCCACGTGCCCATCCCAAGGTGGGCGTCACTGCGATCCCGCGCCAGAACTGGTGTTGCAGGGCTGGCAAGAAGCAGCGGCAAACCGAGGTGTATGTATGAGTACCGGTCCCATGCGCGACAGCATCGCAGTGCATGAATCATCTCAAGTTGGCTCGGTCGACTTGTTCAACTAACAGCTGAGGGGTAGACGTAATTGTTTTGGCATGACGATTGTTCGCAATTGCAGCAGTAGCCGTAGGATTAGTAGAGAAGCACGAGTCGTATTAGTCATAACCGTAGCCTCAGTGGTAATAATTTTAGTCTTAGGCGTAGTCATAGATGTGGTTGTAGTGGTAGTCGTGATAGTTCTAGCAAAGGGTAGCACGAGAAGTCGAAGTAGAAATCGTGATAGTGGTGGTAGGAGCAGTAAGTAGTCGCCGTAGTAGCAGGAGCAGTATCAGTAGCATGCAAAGTGTGATTAAACAGTAGTGCTAGTAGTAGTAGTAGTAGTAGTAGTAGTAGTAGTAGTAGTAGTAGTAGTAGTAGTAGTAGTAGTAGTAGTAGTAGTAGTAGTAGTAGTAGTAGTAGTAGTAGTAGTAGTAGTAGTAGTAGTAGTAGTAGTAGTAGTAGTAGTAGTAGTAGTAGTAGTAGTAGTACTAGTAGTAGTAGTACTACTAGTAGTACTAGTAGTAGTAGTAGTAGTAGTAGTAGTAGTAGTAGTAGTACTAGTACTAGTACTAGTACTAGTAGTAGTAGTAGTAGCAGTAGCAGTAGGAGTAGGAGTAGGAGTAGGAGTAGGAGTATAGTAGTAGTAGTAGTAGCAGTAGTAGTTGTAGTAGTAGTTAGTAGTAGTAGTAGTAGTAGTAGTAGTAGTAGTAGTAGTAGTAGTAGTAGTAGTAGTAGTAGTAGTAGTAGTAGTAGTAGTAGTAGTCGTTGTAGTCGTAGTAGTAGTAGTAGTAGTAGTAGTAGTAGTAGTAGTAGTAGTAGTAGTAGTAGTAGTAGTAGTAGTAGTAGTAGTAGTAGTGGTTAGTGTAGTGGTAGTAGTAGTTAGTGGTAGTCGTAGTCGTAGTAGTAGTCGTAGTCGTAGTCGTCGTCGTAGTCGTAGTCGTGGTCGTAGTCGTAGTAAGTAGTAGTAGTAGTAGTAGTAGTAGTAGCAGGAGTAGTAGTAGTAGTAGTAGTAGTAGTAGTAGTAGTAGTAGTAGTAGTAGGAGTAGGAGTAGGAGTAGGAGTAGTAGTAGTAGTATTAGTAGTAGTAGTAGTCGTCGTCGTCGTCGTAGTAGTAGTAGTTGTTGTTGTCGTTGTAGTACTAGCCATAGTAATAGTAATAGTGGTACTGCTAATAAAAGTAGTAGTAGTAGTAGTCGTTGTTGTTGTCGTTGTTGTCATTAGTTGTTAATGTTGTTATTGTCGTTGTCGGTGTCGGTGTCGTTGTCGTTCTTGTTGCGTTCGCTGATACCTTTTCTGAGGCAGCACCAGCTGCAGCTCAAGTGCTGTCAGTGGTCGTGCGATCTAGTTGCCTTGTAGCTGGCATGGCGGCAGCTGTTGAGCTTGGGATTGAGGTCGCAGTACAGCCAGAATTTTCGGACGAGTGCTGAGCAGCATTGTCATGGAACGATTGAAGAGAACGACGCGGTTGTCCAGCGCCGCATTCCCTCTCCCGTTCTGACGAAGATTCGACTTTCACTGCAAGGAATGCCTTCTTTGCCTGCGATGCAGTCAAAACAGCTCGTTTATAGCCATTACGCTTTATTTGAAGTACGTGTTCTATCGAGCGCAATGTCTTGCACAGGCGCGCCATGTTTCCTCGACGCCTCCTCGGCCGAGGGCGTCGGGCTTGGTTTCGCTTGCCAGTGTAGATGGTAGATCGGTCGTGATTGTACACTTGACGTTTTCTGACGCGGCATTCGTAGCTGCAGTCGTCGTAGCCGTGGCGCTTGTGATGCCAGTCCTAGTAATAAGACCTTCCTTGCTGCAGTAGAGGGATGGGGAGCAGCAGCAGTAGCAGCAGCAGTAGCAATAACCGTAGTAGTAGCAGTAGTAGTAGTAGTAGCAGCAGTAGTAGTAGTAGTAGTAGTAGTAATAGTAGAAGTAGTAGTAGTAGTAGTAGTAGTAGTAGT